GGTAGTGCACATTATAGCGACTGGTTATTTGGTTGTTCCATCATATTGGTCATTAGGCTTTTATTTTATAGACTAGAGGTCCGGTGCACAAAAATTTTGTGCACTTGGGGGTGTCCCTCAGCCTAGCCTGTGTCCTCTCACAGTCTGGGACCCCTCGTCTCGCTAGCGCTCTGCGCCCTCGGCATGCTGGCCGTGGCCATCTGCTCGGACCACTGGTACGAGACGGACGCCAGGAAGCACAGGGACAGGTGCAAGGCCTTCAACACCCGCCGGATCGATCCTGGCTTCATTTACAACAACAACAACAACTTGCCGCTCCGAGCGAGCCGCTCGCGCCTGGACCGCTGGGAGGGCAAACTCCTCCGGGCCCGGAATCGCAGGCAGCTCTTCGCCATGAGCCCCATTGACGAATGCAGCCGGCAGTACAACTCCACCAACATGGGCCTCTGGAGAAAGTGCCACCGGCAGGGCTTCGACCCCGAGATCGCCGCTCTCATTCGGAAAGGTAAGCGCCAGCAGCGAGGCGTGGCGCTGCGGAGAGCCTGGCCCCAGCTAGGCCCGGCAGCCCGCTCCCTCCTCAGCCTGGCGGAGGTCTAGTATAAGCCTCCTGGGTCCAGGAGGTCAGGTTGTCGGGCTCTCCCAAACCTTGGAGTGGCCACAACTTGCCTCCCAGTGGCTGGTGACAGAGGCTTACCTCTCCCTACTCGCCTCTTGTCTTGCATTTGTCTGTTGAGATTCGCATGGTCCAGGGTAGGATAATGCTGGTTCAGTCTCTTAAAAGGAAGGAAATCTATAATGTGCTGTTAACAGAGGAAGCCCTTTAAGAGTGATATGTTGGGGTAGTCAGACTCCTAGTTTTAATCTTTTTAGATGTTGAACTGATTCATCAAGGGAAAGTGGGGGAAACATCTCCAACAGAAGGCCTTTCTGATGCCAGGAACGTTTGCTAAGTGCTGTCCTCTACTAGGCATGTTGCAGGCATTGGTCATATAAATATCAACAAATTCCAGTTCCTGCCCTGTGGCAGCTCAAAGCCCGTTGACCCAGTGGCATCATACCACAATTCTTGATTTCTCCTTTTAAGAAAGTGGTTGACAAATGACTTGTGTGCATGCAATATTTAGCGGGGTCTGACAAGCACAAAAAAGTAGTTTTTCAGGTAACAACAAAGTGGGCACTGCAGAGAAAAAAAGAATACCATACCAAAGTGTACCAAAACAGGAAAAAGCCTGGATTTACAAACCATAAAAATTTGATAAGTTAGTATGATCACATAGATTTTAAAGTCTGCTTTAAAATGACATTTGTAAATTTTGCATGACATATACTTTGGGGACCTTCCTGTTCCATTAACCTACTAAAATATACTTTAAATATATTTTTATTGATTTTGGAGAGGAATGGAGAGGGAGAGAGAGATAGAAAAATCAATGATGAGAGAGAATCATTGATCGGCTGCCTCCTGCATGCCCCACACTGGAGATTGAGCCTGTAACGAAGGCATGTGCCCTTGACCAGAATCAAACCTGGGATCCTTCCGTCCAAAGGCCGACGACACTCTATCCACTGAGCCAAACTGGCTAGGGCTGGATATATATTAATATTGCTCTTCTATGGTAGCTATGTCGTGGAAGATGTGGTGTAATCTCAAGAATCTCCTTTTACTCCCTGCTATGTTTCATTCTTTTCAACTATTAAATGGTGGTGGTAAGCTGAAAGGATGTTGTTTATCAGCAGCCTTTGAGGCCAAGATATGAAACAGTTCTTAATGACATTTAATATTATAAGGGAGGTTTGATGCTGTTTTTAAATATAATTTGTGAGGACAGATGTTCTTTAATTTATAAAAATTTTGAAATGGATGGAAACTGTTAATAAAAATGTCAATTGTTTAAGAATGACAAGCAGTAGGTATGGTCTAGGTGGCCATTCAGACTTAGGTGAGATAAGTCCAGACAGAACCCATCTTAATGCTTGTGTTGTAGGTTCTGTAGAATGACTAGGGATTTTAGCTAATTTGGCTCGAGTGTGTTAATATTATAAACATCACATCTGTTTCATGTTAAGCACTTTTTAGAACAGGGTGACCCATCTGGAGCTCTACAAGTTTGTAAAGACGTATGGATATTAGAGAATTCCTGAAGAGAGCAACTCGGGTTTGGATTTTGGGAAAAGAAGAGGAAGCAAAATAGTTTTTGACCATGGGTGATTTCATAGCAGTTTTCAGATTCTCAGATTCATAAAGTGTTGTTTTATCCCTCATTTTCTGCTTTCATTAAAATCGGAATGGCCCTAACCGGTTTGGCTCAGTGGATAGAGCGTCGGCCTGCGGACTCAGGGGTCCCGGGTTCAGTTTTGGTCAAGGGTATGTACCTCGGTTGCGGGCACATCCCCAGTGGGGAGTGTGCAGGAGGCAGCTGATCGGTGTTTCTCTCTCATCGATGTTTCTGACTCTCTATCCCTCTCCCTTCCTCTCTGTAAAAAATCAATAAAATATATTTAAAAAAAAATAAAATTGGAATGGTAGGAAGTTAGCCAGAATGTGAGGAAGAATTCATGTTAATAATGACTGTTAAACACTGGTAGGACTTACTGAAGGGCATTCTTGAATTTCCTGCCTCGAACATCTCCCTAAACAAGACAGGTGTCCTTCTATCTGGTATTGGTTAACCCCACTTAAAAAAAGGAGGGTGGCATTCATGGCTTCTGATGGTTGCAATGAGGGCTTTGATTCCCTGTTGCTCTGCTTAGCAATCCAGCTAGAAAGGTTGACTTGGTCTGTGCACCAGAGGGATTGGTTACCATAGTGACATGTTCTTCCGGTGAGCTGGAAACACAGTGACAGGGAAAGGGATAGGGGAGGAATGTACAACATTTTGACTGTGTATTGACTGATTTTTAATTGCAGCAACAGAAAATGGACACGACACAGCAGGGGGATTGAATGCACTGATACCTAGAGTTGGCAGGGCATTGTATTTCACTCCAACTAATGGACATCCTGTTCCCCATCACCCAAAATATAGCAATCACTGTCAGTGGCAAGCACCCACTCACCATGGCCATTCTGTCCATTTGACATTCTTGTTGGATATTATTGAGATAGATGGCATGCCAGCATTACAAATCTTCAGAGGCTTAAGGTCACTATCTTCATTTTTAACCTCAAAACAGAATCTTTGAAAGCCAGATCTTCTATAAGCAGCAATAGAAACATTTTGGAAATAAGTACATCTTTTATTAGTAGAATTCACAAGTTATTCCAATAATATACCGAATGTAATTTCTAGATTTAATCAGTATTCTTCCCAAATGGGCAGATTTTTAGAAGGAATTTTAGAAAAAGAAATGAATATCTCTATATTTAGATCTAGGGCATCTTAGTGAAAGATTTTTATCTCACAGTGTTCATTATCAGCCTCAAAAGATATCTTAGGCCTTTGTCTTTCTTTGAAACATCATGAGAAAATTAGAGATTTATCTAAATGATCATGCAGCCCCTAAGAACTCAGTCATTTGTTAAATTAATGTTCATCACATTAGAAAGTGTTGTTTGTGCATTTCAAAACATAACAAAATCACATGATTAATAAGAAATCAAAAATTGCCCTAGCCAGTTTTACTCAGTGGATAAGAGCATTGGCCCCTGGATTGAAGGGTCCCGGGTTCAATTCTGGTCAAGGGCACATACCTCAGTTGCAGGCTCGATCCCTGGCCCTGGTCAGAGCCTGTGCAGGAGGCAATCAATCTATGTGTCTTTCTCATATAGATGTTTTCCTCTCTGTGTCTCTTCTCCTCCCTTCTACTCTCTAAAAATCAATGGAAAGATATCCTCAGGTGAGGATCAACAACAACAAAAGACAAACAAAAAAGAAGACAAAAGTCAGATGTATATTTGATTTGAAGATAAAGTCCTTTGGACTCATGTTCTTTCTGAAATCCATGTCTTCAGTGCCCAGCTGCTGTGACTGTACCCACAAATACACATTTCTGGTCACTGTGTACTTGTTTGTTTGAATTATTGAACTGTAAGTTCCTGGAGGGCAGGAAAGATAATCATTTGTAAAATATAGTCACCAGATGGGTGCTACTTGGGAAATATCTTATACAAATTAGGTTCACAGAAATGTATCTATCAAGTGTTCCTAATTGTAGGAACACTGGTGTGAAATTCAAATAAAGGATTAGTTGGAAAATTGTGATTAGAAAAAACAAAGAACCAGCGTGGCTTTCAGGGCAGGTTAATATTGTAACAGATGCTACATGATTTAACAAGAAAGATTTTTTTGGGAGCAAAAGCTTTGTTAAGGAATAAGGGACACACAATACTTTATTGTGGGAGGGGATAACATATATTATCGAACAGATACAAATCACTCACAATCATTATTTTTTACATTAGATTATATTTTAATCATTTCCTTCTTGGAGGTAGGATTGGGTAGAGGGTGTAAGCAAGGATAGAGTACCCTTGAATTCCCATATGACTGTGCCCATAATCAGGTCCTCTGTCTTCTTGCTGTTCAACCTTGTCCATGTCTCCCTAGTAAGTCACTGCAAGCACAGGGGGCAGATCAATGACAGGATCAGTTTCTGAAATCCAAGAGACTTCCAGACCTTTAGGAGGAGCAGCTACAGGTAGGATTTTGTTCCAGATTTGTACTGAAACGCTATACTTGAAATAAGTAGACCTTCAATTGAGATTCTAAGAACTTTTTAAAATTATTTGATAATAGGCCTTATAATAGAATTTGACCTACATAGATTCCATAATTACAGAGTGGTTGTCAATAGCTTGAGACGTATTTTAATAAACTGTTATACATATCCACAAATTAATAGTGTACTCAGCAAATATTTGCTGTGCACATATTATGTGATGGGCACACATCACTAGGATGAAGGAATGAATGAGACTCAGTCTTCAAAATTCCTATTGTCTGTTAGCACCACAGAGAATAAATGACAACTATGGGATGGTGAGAGCAACAGAAACACTCAGAAAAATAAAGAGGAGGCAGTGATAGATTGTGTCAGCAGTGGGATGAGGTAAGGCGGGAGGTGGGTGAAGCAGGGTTGCCTCGGAGAAATGAAACCTGATCAAGATTTTCATGGAGTTTGGAGGTGGCTGGAGAGGAAGGGCATTTTAGGCAAAGAAGCCAGAGTATGCTCAACCATGGGAGTGTGAAACGGTAGTTGCTTGGCCTTGTGAGTGTGATTTCTGAGGTGAAGGAGAGGAGCAGACCAGGAGCAGGAGAGCAGGCAAGAGCCCAGTCAAGGAGCTTGTGTGCTCAAGTCTCCTGTAGCAATGCTGCCCATAGGGTAGCCACGAGCCACATGTGGCTATTTAAATTTAAAATAATCAAAAGTAAATAAAATAAAACATTTACTTCCTTAGTCACATTGGCCACATTAGAAATACTCACTGGCCATGTGTGGTTAGTGGCTATGGAATTGGACAGTGCAGATTAGAGAACCTGCCCATCATCACAGAAAGATCTGTTT